ATGCTTGCAAAAATATTATGCTAATTTCATATGAATTCATCTTCAGACTTAAATCAATCGGTAGAAATCAAATCCAAGAATGCATGGATATTAAATTAACTTGGTGCAATACAATACATGATGATTAGTGCGAAGTATTACTCACAAACCTAAATAAGTCATTAAGAAAAAGGAAAGGAATCGCCATATAATGCATGTGTATTAAGTTAGCATGATACAACTTATCGCATGAAGATAATTATGAAGAATTACATGTAGAATTATTAAAATCATGTTAGACGATTTATGAACATGAAGTCAACGCAGTACATCATATTGCATGATGAATAAAAATTAAGAAGCATTTGCAGATCTAATAATTATCAGAAATCGAACCTTATCACACGATGTATACATAGATGTGATGAACCTTTTGTATAGGGATGGGTTCAGTTAGGCTATAGCCGGCTAGCTGACTGGTTATAGCCATAGCCGATAATAGTTGACTAGATCAGCTTAGCTGACTGGCTAGCCGATACCAAATTTTTTATTTTCTGGCTAATAAATTATAATTATTGCTTTAATTCAGCATGAAGTGCTCAAATTACATAATTATTGCAAAAAATACCCTAGTTGTTTATCACAGCAGATTCTCGATTTTGATTGGCTAAGAGCAATGATAAAAAATTTAGGCTGAAATTGCTCGAAATTTTACCACTGAAATCACATCTGCCTATTAAGTGAAAAATGTTCCTAAAGTAATTTTACTATAATGGAGGTCTATTTCTCTAAAAATTTATATTTTTGTAATAAAAAGGTTAGAAGCTTAATTCCAGCCAAAAATTATATAACAATTGTATAATGCGGGTCAAAATTTTGTAGACCACGACATTTAGCTAATTAAAATTATAAATCTAAATTGATGTAACAGTTAAGTTGTTTTATTGTAAGATACCAAAAGATAAGTATTTTTTGTTGATGATTTGCAATACAGAATTTCAAAACAATCTAATTTTGGTTAAATTTGCAGATCGTTTGGCCTACTGGTGATAAGTTTAAATAAAACTCATCCACAATAGGCCAAGCGATCTGCAAATTTGACCAGAATTAGATTATTTTGAAAATGTAGATCGGGATCTTCAATATTTTGATCATTTTGATTGGCTGTTTATAGCATGTGGCCCGAATTTTTTTTCGCCATGGCTAGGGTACTCTAATATGTATAATTGTATAACATATAAAAATATAATTATTTGGCACTTGTTTATATGTTTGATTGAAAAATTGATTAAGAACTGATCAATAATTTATTAGCTATAGCCGGCTACTAATTGATAGTTGATGATAGCTGACCGATAGCTAACCATAGCTGACCGAACCCATCTCTAGGCGGGAAACCACCGGCCAGTGCTAAGCCACACAAACTCAACTGCTTACAGTGATCTCCCGGCGCAATGTTATTTGCTATTTCTAGGAGCAATCTCATTTCAGTTTCATTATTTCAATAAGGCCATTTGAAGTTAATTTTTCAGTTAACATCACCCCTCCCTATAGTTGTTAGACAAAACCTTTTTTGCTTGCTAACGAATGTCGAAACCTAAGCCCCAAATAACAAAACCTCTGCCAAAAATTGAAACCTCAAATTCTTCTAACAAAAGTCAAAACCTCAAATCCTTCTAACGAAAGTCAAAACTCCAAACTTAGCTTGACAAAACCCAAGTACTCTCGCTAAAAAAAAAAAAAAAAAAGTAATCCTACTAAAAAAAATCTCTTATTACCGAAACTCTTAACAAATTCTGGTGCTCCTGCAAAAAAATTTAATGGAAATTTATTTCTGATAGGCTACTTTTTATTGAGATCTGATCAATTTACTGATAATCACAACATACACTAGTAAAAAAGTCAATTATTAACTAAATAATAACCAGTAATTTCTGGTATAAATTATAACTTATTTACTCTTATTTACTATATATTTACTGGGTAATATATATATTTAAACATATAAACTAAAAATATATAAATAACACAAATTATCTAATAAATATATAGTAAATAAGTTATAATTTGTACCAGAAATTACTAGTTATTATTGAGTTAATAATTGATTTTTTTACCAGTGATAGATGCCACATTTCACCACTAACAAGCTCATTTTACTGACAGCCTATTTCACTAAAGCTTATTTCAAAAAGTCATCCTGTTAGTGAAAGAGCTTCAGTAAAATAGACTATTGGTAAAATGAACTTGTCGATAATTGTCATAAAATATAGTGTCTACAAGGTGAAATAATAGGGATCTCTTTTTATTAAGTTCTTATTTAGATTAATTTAACTGGCAAGTATAACAATAGTTAGAATAATCAATGTATGCACCTTTTATTAATTTATTATCAGCTCTAATTTGTCTTTTATTCAAGTTTATTTAGCCAATAGGCAATGATTGATTTTTAATCGAAAACACTAGAATATGTAAAATAATCTGTTTATTATTAATGTCTTACTTGTGCTAATTTACTTAATTGATAAATCTCTTTTTATTAAGTTGCATTAAGCTCATTAAAACTAATCTAAGTATAAATTATACAGCCCTTTATATAGTTGTTAAATGAAACTTCGAAGTTTCGCACTAACGAAATGCAAAACCTAGTTTTGTCTTTCGTCAATTAAAATCTTAAATGACAAATGATAAAACTGACAAAAGGTGACAAAACTGTAAAGGGGGACAAAGATGAATATACAAATAAATAGATTGATTATGTGTATAAAAAAATAAACTAATAAAAAGTTACAAAAAATTTTATTGTATAGTAGGCATTTGATCTTAAATTTATTTTGTGCCAGTGTGTTTTTAATTTGTTATTTGTGTTATTCCATGAGTAAGTACTATGACTTTTTGACAAGGTTATTTCAACCGGTCTATAACAACCCTAGCATTGTCCAGAAAAATGAACTGGTTTATTTTGCTGGCATATATGTAACTTCGGATACTGATCTCTGAATAAATTATAGTTTCTTTACCTTTTGCCACCTTTCACCAGTTTCGCCAGTTTTAACACCTTTCGTCAGTTTCGACACCTTTCATCTGTTTTGGCACCTTTCGACAGTTTTGACATTTCATCATTTGAGATTTTAATTGACGAAAGTCGAAACTAGGTTTCGACTTTTGTCAGCGCGAAACCTCGAGGTTTCGTCTAACATCTATAGGTATGATTCTCGGGACATAACACCAACAAAGTTAGCTGATATTAGTTAAATTCTGGCTGATTTAATTAATATTTTTGCTTTTTTCCTTCGGGAAATTGTACTATAACTACACGCTTAATTAAGCCTTGTATTTAGTCACCAGATCTTAAATACATACAATTGGGGGCTTCAAAGGTAAAACGTGGAGATCTAATTTTAATTGAAATTGATGATGTATTTATTTTGAAATAAGAATCGGCAATCTGATCTTATCTTCAATTTAGACGAAAGTTTTATTTCTTTTATGGAGATCTCCCATTTCATTTCCGATTTTAAAATCTTGAAAAAAAATAAGATTTTTCAAACTCTCATTTAATTTCAAAACGTGCCACTTATTTGTTAACTTTGTAACCCCTAATATATCAATTTGAATTTATTATAACTTAATTGAATTGGCTAAAAAATCATTTGGCTAATTTTTATCGGGTGTTCTATAATTTTTACCGAATATTTTTTTCCCAATACAATAAATTTAAGTAATTAATGCTTTCAATTCTATTTAAGTGTCATATTTAATGCCTTTGTGATAACTGGGAACTTTTATAACGAATTCTGGATAGTAAGTAGAGGATTTAGGCTTTTCCCTTTACGATATTCCCATCAATCTAAGCTTCCAAAGAAGCTTACTACCACTCTTTTTCACCAACAAAATTCTTTTCCCAAACTCCAAATTCTGCGACAAGACTATGGTATGTTTCTTGAGAAATAATACTGACAAAGTTAGCTAGTAGTAGTTATAATTCTAGTTAATTAGTTAGTATTATGTTCTTTCGAGAAATCATACCATTAAAGTCTTGCAATATTTACTTTAATTATACACAATAGGGGGTTTTCAAAGTTAACAAATAAGTGGCATATTTTGAAATTAAATGAGAGTTTGAAAAATCTTATTTGTTTTTCAAGATTTTAAAATCGGAAAATGAAATGGGAGTGTTTGGAGATCCCATTTATAAAATTGAAAATTTTTATTATACTTCGTAAAAAAAAAATACAAAGTAAAAGTTGCGTTCAAACTGAAGATAAGATCAGATTGCTGGATCACTTATTTCAAAATAAATACACATCAGCAATTTCAATTAAAGTTAGATTTTCGCGTTTAACTTTGAAACTCAACTAGAATTTATTATGCCAAAATTATAAACTTAATTGACCAGTAGAAAAATTATTTGGCTAATTTTATTAGGCGTCCAGAATTTATGAAAACAAATCTAAATTCGTTAAAACACCCTTTAATAAAAGAGCTTTCAGCAATATATTTTTTTAAGAAATAGAATATTAGAATTTGAAAATGCATGTTAGTAAAATAGACATTCGTTTTTACTGGTGAATGACTTATCAGAAAATTTATTATCGATTAAATTATATTTTGGTAAATGAGATATCGCAAGTATTATGTTCAGTGTTATAAATTCAAATAATTTTTATTGGTACAAGTGCGTATTATATATTAATGATATGTGTGCAACCTTTAAAATCATGTTTATATATATAGAAAGTAAAATTATAATACGCGCAGAGCGCCAATCATGTTCAACAAAATATGTGCAAATTTAAGTTATGTGCGCTGTGCCTATTGCACGTATTCAATTTCTTTACTAATTATGTTTTGTTAGTAAATATATTGTCAGTGTTATAGCTTTGGTGAAATGGTATTTTTTAAAAATGACTTTAGAAAGTTAACCTGTAATCACAATATGATTGTATAAATAAAAATACAAATTATTTTATAAATTCTATATATTAATATTAATTTAATACATTAACTTTAGGTTCATTATGTCAAATGTTAAAGAATTAGGTGAACATGATGAAGAATATGATCAAGCATCAATGCCATTTTCTTTAGAATTTTCTGATGATATCAATAGTATATTTATTGAAGATTTGTGTGAACTAAATGATGATGAAATGTCTTTGGCAGAGGAGTCTGTAGATGATATAGGCATTGAAAGTGTATTTGTAGCATTTTTGATGGTATTGGAGAACCGGAAATGGCATCACCATAATTATAATAAAACTAAAATAATGAATATTTTGATATGGACGATTATATTGAAGATGATGAGAAAATAATGAGGAGTATGAACAAGATAGTGAAAAGATGGAATGTAATAAATATAATGAATATAATGAAGGTGAGATTCATTATATTAATTAAAGGTTTATATTATTTTATTATCGATACTTATTTTATTGATAAGCTTATTTTATAGATGGTTAATTTATAGACAGCTTATTTTATAGACAATATTTTTTATAAATTACACTAACCTTAGTTCTAATAAAATTACTTTATTTGTGAAAATGAGCTTTTAATAAAATATACTGTCTATAAAATAAATTTGTCTGTAAATTAACAGTCTGTAAAATAAACTACCGGTAAAATATATGGTATCTTTAAAGCAGTGTTAGAAGCTAGAAATTTCCAGAAAGCTTTGAATATTACAGGAGATGAGTTGATTTGGACAATGCTTATGCTAAAGTAATGTGTAATGTTGGTTGTTGTTATAGCGATGGAAGGAATTTATCAAGATCATAATAAAACATTTGGATACTATAAAAAGCCTATCAATATGAATGATAAAGCAACAATAAATAATGTTGTTTGATTTTGCTGAAACAGGATCGGTCCAAAACCAAAAGGGATATTCAGAAGGCATAATATTGGTTCAGAAAATATTAAAGTTTTTTAAAACTAATAAACTGCCATATCATATCAATTCTGAACTTAAGAGAATATTAGATGACAAAAGATTTAAATTACTTTTCAGTGATATCGAATAAGATAAAGTGGATTTGCAACTGTATATTATGCACATTGGTTCGATAAAATTAGTGGTACAGTGCATGGTGAGATGTTGCATTTAAAGTGATTCGTAATTCAATTCAAGAATCAAAGAATTACTATACAAGATTCATTCACACTTAAACTGTCTTGAAATATCAAGAAATGACTATGATGATTATACAAATGCTTTGAATTATGCATATATTGATCCTGAACTTAAGAGAATATTAGATGATAGAATATTTAAATTACCTTGGATTGTTTATAATGAATTTAGAGATATCGAGTAAGATGGAAAAGAGGATTTGCAACTGTGTATTATGTACATTGGTTCGATATAGAATTAATAGTACAGTATGTGGTGAGATGTTGCATTTAAAGTGATTCGTAATCCAATTTAAGAATCAAAGAATTACTGTACAAAAATCATTTATTCTTGAACTGTTTTGAAATATCAAGAATGGTTATGAAATTATATTAATGCTTTGAATTATGCATATATCAATCCTGAACTTAAGAGAATATTATATGATAGAAGATTTAAATTACCTTGGATTGTGTATAATGAATTTAGAGATATCAAATAATATAGAAAAGAGGATTTGCAACTGCATATTATGCACATTTGTTCAATAGAATTAATAGCACAGTATGTGGTGAGGTGTTGCACTTAAAGTTATTTGTAATTCAATTCAAAAATCAAAGAATTACTGTATAAGAATCATTCATTTTTAAACTGTCTTGAAATATCAAGAAATGATTATCATGCTTTGAATTATGCATATATAATCCTGAACTTAAGAGTATATTAGATTATTAATTACCTTGGATAGTTTATAATAAATTCAGAGATATCGAATAAGATGGAAAAGAGGATTTACAACTGTATATTATGCACTTTTGTTTAATAGAATTAATAACAGTATGTGGTGAGGTGTTGCACTTAAAGTGATTCATAATTCAATTCAAGAATCGAAGAATTACTGTTCAAAAATCATTCATTCTTGAAATATTAAGAAATGATTATGATGATTATGTTAATGCTTTGAATTATGCATATATCAATCCTGAACTTAAGAGAATATTAGATGATTGAAGATTTAAATTACCTTGGATGAATTTAGAGATATCAAATAAGATGAAAAGGAGAATTTGCAACTGTATATTATGTACATTGGTTTGATAGAATTAATAGTACAGTATGTAGTGAGGTGTTGCACTTAAAATGATTCATAATTAAAATTCAAAAATCGAAGAATTACTTACAAGAATGATCCATTCTAAAACTGTCTTGAAATATCAAAAAATGATTATGATAATTATATTAATACTTTGGATTATGCATTATCAATCCTGAACTTAAGAGAATATTAGATGATAGAAAATTAAATTACCTTAGATTGTTTATAATAAATTTTGAGACAATGAATAGGATGGAAAAGAGGATTTGCAATTGTATATTATGTACATTGGTTCGATAGAATTAATAGTACAGTATGTGGTGAGGTGTTGCATTTAAAGTGATTCATAATTTAATTCAAGAATCTAAGAATTACTGTGCAAGAATCATTCATTCTTGAAATATCAAGAAATGATTATGATGATTATATTAATGCTTTGAATTATACATATATATCAATTCTGAACTTAAGAGTATATTAGAGGATGGAAGATTTAAATTACCTTGGATTATTTATAATGAATTTAGAAATATCATTTACAACTATATATTATGCATATTTGTTCGATAGAATTAATAGTACAGTATATGGTGAGGTGTTGCACTTAAAGTGATTCATAATTCTGTCTTGGGGTATAAAAAATGATTATAATACTATGAACTCAAGAGGATATTAGATGATGGAGGATCTAAATTATCTTGGATTGTTTGTAATGAATTCAGAGATATCAAATAAGAGGGAAAAGAGAATTTGCAACTGTATATTATGCGCATTTGGTTTGATAGAATTAATAATACAGTTGTTGCTCTTAAAGTGATTCGTAATTCAATTCAAGAATCGAAGAATCACTGTACAAGAATCCTTCATACTTAGATATCAAAAAGTGATTATGATAGTTATGGAACTTGTCAATATATTATTGACTTACATGGCTGTTCAAAAATAAATAATAGCCCTGCTATGATTTTTGAATAGGTGCCAAATGGTAATTTGAAAAGGTTGTACATAACAAATTCTATCAATTGGTGCACTAAATTATAAAAAATTGCATATTAATACTATGAATTGTACTAAATATATATCACTCCTGAACTTAAAAATATATTAGATGATGGAAGATTTAAATTACTTTGGATTGTTTATAATGAATTCAGAGATATCTAATAAAAGGAGAAAGAGGATTTGCAACTATATATTATGTACATTGGTTTGATAGAATTAATAGTACAGTATGTGGTGAAATGTTGCACTTAAAGTGATTTGTAATTCAATTAAGAATTAAAAAATTACTGTATATGAATCCTTCATTCTTGAACTGTCTTGGAATATTAAGAAATGATTATAATAATTGTGTTATAAGAATTATACATACCGTTCAAGCACGAAATAATGCCCACCTGCGCGTTAATTAATTGACCTGCGCGTTAATTAATTGACCTGCGCGTTAATTAATTGACCTGCGCATTAATTAATTGACCTGCGCGTTATTTCAAGTACGCGCATGCGCGTTATTTTGAAACAAGAGTTATTTATTTATAATAGGAATAAAAAAGTGCTCTGAACTGGATTTGGTAGTAAGTAAATCTATTTTTTGGCTTTAGAAAACTTGTTCTTCAGGCCAAGACAGTTTTTACTGTGGTGAAATCATTAAAAAAAAGTTCTGTAGTTCACCTGCAATACCTCTTCAAAGTTTCACAACGTTTGT